CGTCCCCCCCCCCCCCCCCCCCACCCCCCCCCCCCCCCCCCCCCCCCCCCCCCCCCCCCCCCCCCCCCCCCCCCCCCCCCCCCCCCCCCCCCCCCCCCCCCCCCCCCCCCCCCCCCCACCCCCCACCCCCCCCCCCCCCCCCCCCCCCCCCCCCCCGTCACTTCCAAGTCTGTCCGCAGACATACCCACGCCGTCCTATCTGTAACTTATCCCGAACCGGGCAGCGTGAGAATCATTACGCTCGATGCTGCACGCACATCTAATGACAAACTAGACAAGACTGAAAGGTTGTTGGCTACAAAGCCTGACAGTGAGATCAAAAGGAAGAAGCTCGCGACTATAGCGCAGACAAGAGCGAAGAACAACGCGATTTTGGCAAATGCTCAGGTGGAAGGAGATACGCAGGTACAAAGAGAGGAAACCACAAGAGTAACGGCTGCTAGACCGATGATGCCAATGGATCAGGCACCTATTACAAGAACCGCAAGTGCAAACACAGGTCTCACATGCGTGGAAGATGGAGATGAGAGCTCGAGCGGACAAGGTTCAACAACGCAGCAGGAGTTGAACAAAGACGTGGAAAGCGACTGCAGGACTACTAAAGAGCCATACCACAGCTCACCCGCAACGCCTCAACGCCACCTCTCCACCGTCCACCAAGAACCCACAAGTAGCACCAACAATACCTCCAAGCTGCCCAGCAACCGCATGTCCCACCCAACCGCCTGGTCCACCTTACACCCTTCCGAAACATGGTCTACAAATCCCAACCTCCACGCTCGCCAACTCCACTCCGACACCCAACGTATCCTTGCCCAGCTCCCCAACGAACCTGCCTACGCTTTCCGCGACACAGAAATACGCGACGCCATCTGGGCACTTATGCACAGGATCGAAGATTTTGCCAGGACGTTTTTCCTGCAACAGCAGCAGCAGCACCGGCAAGGCGCGCACGCTTCGTCGCCTCTTGGAGACGACGACGGCGGCAATAACAATGGGAATGATAGGGTAGATGTGGTGTTAGATAAACATTTTTATTCGGGGCTGAGTCCGGAGACGGCGAGGGTGATTGCTTGTGTAGCGTCCGGTGGACCGGGTGGTGTATCCGGGTGGCATGATGTGTTTATGAACAGGGAGAAGATGCAAGCGCTTGTGTGCGGAATCATTGCTAACGTGGTTTCGGAGCAAGTCCTGAAACATGGATTTTTCGGGGGCACAGAGGAAGGTGTGCAGCGAGTGAGGGAGGTTGAGAAGGACATGAGGGATTCTGATGGTGAGTATATGAATTTGAGCAAAGGAGCGATAGGAGGGAGGGAGAGAGGGAGGAAGGGCAAGGGCAGACTAGGGATTCGCTGACAGTGTACCGCAATAGGATTCGATCGTAAGATCAAGTACGCAGCTGTTATCCGATCGCACCTACCAACGCCGACTGCCTTACCAGCCAATTTTAATGCCCACGTCAATATCATCGTTGGCGCGCTGTATACGCATCTCTCGCCCCTCCTGGCCCTCGTTACTCCAGATAACACACCAACGCTACCAATCCTCTTCCCGCACCTCCAGACTCTCGTCATCAGCGCCGGTCTCCTGAGTCTACACATGTCCCTCTCCCCTCACACGATCTACCACCACGTCCCGCTTTTCAAAGAAGACACGTACGTTTCCTCCTCGATGGAGTGCTTCAACGAACGCGCCATGCGGTTGAGTAATATGCGTACATCGCTGTCTTGTTTATCTTCCCTCTCCTCTTCTTCTTCCCCTTTCTCCTTCAGACCAACGCAAGAGGAGCTACAACAAGAAACAGCCAGAAGAAATAGATTAAGTGAAACCGAGAAACGCCGAGCAGGCGGCGATGTCCCTCAGGTACAAATTGTGTGTATGGAGGGCATCACTGCGTATAGGCGAGGGGGCTGGGAGAAGAACAAGACCAGCCGTAACGAGAAACTGGTTTTCGAAAAGAGCGAGTATCAAAACATGGGTATACGCGCACGTATCCTAACCCACGGCTGGACATATTGTCGCTGGGGTCGTGCGCGTAGCAGCAGCGACAGTACGCAGAACCCAGCTTGCCGAGACAATGAAGATACTGGTCGTAAGATCCACGGTGATGTGTGGAGGGACGGCGGCTTTGTAAACTGTTCCGATGTTGAAGGGGTGGTGGATTGGCTAGGGTATGGAGAAGGAGAAGAAGCGGTTGATGAGAATGAACAAGATAGGCGGAGAACGTTTTCAGGACGTATGATGACGAAGAACAAGGAGCAAGTTGTTTGAAAGCAGTGGTGTAGATCGATGAGAGTAGCAAGGGAGTTGATGTTGTGTGTTAGACTGACAAGGAAGGGGGGGGGGGGGGGGGGGGGGGGGGGGGAGGGGGTGGGGGGAAAATAAACGTTCGAGGGCAAGTGATAATCCCCAATTTTTTATAACCCCCCCCGCCCCCCAAGAGACAAGGCGCAACTTGGACGCCCTCTTTTTTTTATAAAAAAAA